GAATAGAAATTAACCGTCAGTTTTACTAAATGAATGGTGTGTGATACAACTTTTAATTGATATTTTGTAATGACTTAAATTACACCATACTAGATAATACTGTGTGCTTTTTTAAAATGAATTAACACGTTAAGTGTCAGACAAGGCCTAGGTGTATGTTATTACTTATTTGTTATCAAAATAAACCACTTTAATTAGCAGCAGTCTAGGTAATGTTAATGTTTACATACGACAGTGCTAGATGAGTGATCTGCGTGCTTTCTTTCTCAATGTAGTAAAACGATCTAAGTCAGGAAAGCCAAACAAGATGTTTTTCAAATGATCCAGTTTCGGTTATTAAGATAATTACAAAACACAACTAATATTAATGTTCTTTAAACTAAAAATTTTCTGAGTAGAAGTTTCAAGACATTGTTAGAAGCACTAGCTTTCTTGCGTAGAATTAATTCGTTATACTAAACTATTTATTTTACTGTTCCAGAAATAAGTAAATGTTATTGAAGTGTAAGTTTTAATAACAGCTATCTCGGACGTCACTAGGTGTTAAAAGATTCGAAGCTCGGGCCCATAGGCATGAGAATTTTTCGGTATCGATCATGGCTTTTTTTCATTCTGATTTTTCAAGACACTAACTGTGTGCCAGCGCCTAGCGACACCTCTGCATGCAGAGGAAGCAAAGATACCTGTATGGAGGGAGCTGAAGTGTATGCGAGACCCAAACATGGTAACTCTAAGGGGGAAACTCTTATCTATGAGACCTAGACATGGTAATTATATTATTAACAAATATTAACCTGCCCAAAGCAAATAAAGACTCGGGGGCGGGATAATGCCCCCTGCTACTAGGTTATATATATATATATTAAATAAGTTATTGTTATTATTTCTGAGTGTTAATAACTTTCAGTTTCTAGTCGATTTCATCATAAATAACCATAAACCTCGTACTTTTTTTTTCTTTTTCACCATTTTAACGCGTGCTGGGAGACATTCTAAGCTCGAGTTGCCTAATCAGGAAAACTCATCTCACTAGTTTTCGCGCCACTTGTCAGTTGTCAGCCGAAATTGTTGAGGATCACGTTGACGAATCGCAGCGCTCGATCAGAAGTGTTTGCGAAAAGTTAGTGTTCAGGACAAACAAAAAATGAAAAAAAAGAAACAGAAACGAATTAGCTACTGCCAGACGAGTTAAAATAGTGGAAACGGTTTAAAAAAAATTAATGGCCTTAACCCACACAATCTCGTTAAGTTAATTGCGTCATTCAATAATCCTTAATGTTTTTAAAGCATTGAGTTCATCGTATGGCACTTAAAACTCCATGATATATGATATAGTGAACTATACAAATTTTAACTTTTTTCAAGAACACACCTAAGCCTAAATCTTAAGAATTATTTCACGAAAACGCGCGTGTGACTGACAAATAAACAAAATACTTGTGGACTTTCGTGCATTTAATGCTAGTTAAGTGCTCTGTTATATTTATTCCAGTGGCGTAGCAAGGATTCTCAGCACCCGGGGGCAAAGACACTTTTTGCGCCCCCCACTTCTGAAATGTTTTGATTATTTGTTTTGTGACTCATTACCCACTTAATGACAATAGCATAAAGAATTAATTACCGCCTTACACAGGCCTAAAATAAAGTCACACTATAACATCACACGATATCGCAACTGTAAACTTTGAACGCCTACTAAGTGTACTTACATAATTTGTAAACCATTTTGATATTTATGTCATCCAGTAGTGTTGAAAGTTACATAGCTAGAGTAATATTTCAAGCATGCAGGATAAATTTCTGTTATATCCCTAGTTCTGAAACTTATGTTTTATATGAGAAGCCAGTCACTTGTGGTATACATGGATTATAAAACATATTGATAAAACACTACTTAAGTGTACAAATAACAAATTTTGTTAGTTTACAAAACTGTACATATGTTTAACTAGATCTTGTACAGGTAGCATTCTGGTATTCATGGTTACATTATATGAACCTTTCGTGCTTTTGCTGCTGCAAATGCATCAATTAAACTATCAAAATTTAAGGTATTAAGTACGTCTTTTTCAATACTTAATATTGCCAAGTTACTAAGTTATTCTTGAGTCATTGAGGTTCTCAAGTGTGTAAGAATTAATTTCAGCTTGCTGAAGGACCTTTCACAACTAGCAATAGAAACCCCAACTGTTAACAAAATCTACAATGCAATTCTTAAATTTGGGAAAAAATCTTCACCATATGAAATTATAAATGTTAGCAAATCAGTTGCAACCATTGGTTCAGGGAAATCAGTCTGTGTTCTT